TAAAAAATGAGTTCGCGTGTCACCTCTGACACGCGTGTCACCTCTGACACGCATGTCACCTCTGACATGCATGTCATAGGTTCGCCATAACTGCATTATGGAATGGGTGGGGAGTGGGGAGCTGGGGTGAAGAGCTCTGGTTTGTATGTGCAAACGCACCGATGACCTTAGCAGTAGTAGTTTCAGTCGAGTGACAATGCCAGGGGCAGACTACAGTGGGTGAAGGAGAGAGTGGGAGATGAGCAGCAGTTTCAGGGCAGCCTAGGGGATGTGGAAGGTGGGTTGGGTACTACATAAATACATTCATATTGGGGAGAATCTCTGGGCCACAGGGAAGTGTTCAAAAAGAGGTAGTTGTGGGAGGTGTTCTTCGATTTCACTGTTAGAAGAGTTTCAGTGAGAAGAGAAATATCAATTCCAGTGACACAGGAGGGCAAGTGGTATAAATGAATGATTAATGGCACATACCAAATCCACAGTAAAGATTGCAGGAAGTTGAGTGATTTCCAATGTTGTATTTGTCTTTAATTATTCCCATCAAGTAGACAGTTGAACCTTGTAAGGATACGATATCTGAGAGCATTGAGCTTTTGGGGATTGGTGCAAATTTTCACTAAGAACACATAATATTTAATAACCGTTTATTTTTAAAAATATAGTTGGGTTTGAAGAGCTTTGGCAAATGTGAGCTGTCAATCTGATAACTTCAGACAGTAAACATACTCTTTAAAATGGAACTTTTTTCTCTTTGTTGTATGATATACAGACTCTTCTTCAAAGAACCCTTGAGGTAAAAACAAATCACAGCTTGTCTCTATAATTTTGCTTAGCTGTTAACTCCACCCAGTTCTTTGTAGAATAGACATGTAATGCATGTGAAGAAATCATGAGATCTCACCAGCTACCTGACAGGTTTAGAGGAGAACCAGGGAGATAGAGACTGGCAGCTCTGCTACCACCTGAAATCAACAGAACTGACTAAGCTTCAGGTTGTAAAGACAGAGATGGATTTCACAGAATCGTGATGGAAATGTGAGGCTAAGGGGCTATAGAAGAACTATCCTTGGTGTGCATGTGTGTTTCTTACAAAGGCACTAAGTTCAGGTATACTTGACAGTTGTCAACACCTGATTCAGACACACCTGTTCACTCTACCTGTCCTGCGGCACCACACAGCAGCCACTTGGGGGCTGTCTTGACCAAGTTTTAGCTTCAGCTTGGGCCACAAAGGGGACTTGTTGCTGTGTAGAGAAGGTAGACATGTGCTCAGTATTGGCAGGGATTTACATATTCCAGGATTATGTAAAATCACCATTAACTATCAGCCAGGTGTGAAACAGTGCATGTGGTGGGCACTCAAGTGTCTGCACTGGGTCTGGATGTGCTGCTCTTTGCAAGTGGGAAAGTAACGTTTCTTCAGGAAGTCCTTTGCTAACTTGTCCATACATCCCTGTGACCCAAAATTGGGCTGAAAATTCCACATGGGAAAATAGGCAACAGAAGTATCTGATTTGCAACTGTGACTTGGCCTCTGGCTTTGGCTGGCCAACTAGTCTCTTGGCCAGAACCTGAGAATAAAAGGCATGTCGAAACTGACGAAACCTGTCATTCTTAATAGTTATTATCACAGCACTTAAACTGAGCTAGAATCAAAGACTGGTGTTTTACTTTTGCAGATTTACATAGAAAGACTTTTAACATATGCTGAAATCGACATTTGCCCAACTAACTGGAAACGAATTGTTTTTGGCGCCATTGTTCTGGCTTTCAAGTATTGGCACGATCTGGATATATCAACTTCGATATTCTGTCGAATCTGCAAGGGCATTACAGCCAAGGACTTGTGAGTTTGCAAGGTTTTGGTGAACTCTCTAACCATTTTTTATTACTTTATATGCCCCCATAAAGTTTACAGTTAAGAAATGTTTTTGAAGTTTAAATTGTGCAGAGAACTGAACTATGCATAAAATTACATATATTTTGCCCAAGCTTGTTTGGCTCAGTGGGTACAGCGTCAGCACAGAATGAATGGTTCCAGGTTCAATTCCAGTTAAGGGCACATACCTGGGTTGTAGGCTCAGTCCCAGTTGGGGCCTGATAGGGAGGAATAGGAGGCAAATAATTGATGTCTCTCTCTCTCTCTCTCTCTCTCCCTCTCTCTCCCTCCCTCCCCCTCTCCCCCTCCCTCTCCCTCTCCCCCTCCCTCCCTCCTTTCCTCCTTTCCACTCTCTAAAAATCAATATTAAAATATCCTCAGGTGATTAACAACAACAACAAATTACATATATTTTTCTATTCACATTTGCTATTAACATATTCTTTCTCATTAATTAGTAGGTTTCCAGGTGTAATTATTCTAATAATCTGTGTGATAATTTGAAATGTATTTCTTTGGTGGTTATTGGCAAACATTGTACAAGTTCAGATGCACAAGCAACCATACTTTAAATATCTTTATGGGTTTTTTAGGGCTGCCTACCTGTTCTGGTCTTTCTTTTTTCTCCTTTATAAAATTTACTTATTTTTATTATTCTTGTCAATAAAACTTTACATTTAATATTGTTTTGTATTAGTCCCAGGTGTACAGCATAATGGTTAGAAAATCATGCTTTGCAAGGTGTTTTCCACAATATTTTTAGTACTGACCTGACACCATACCTCGTTATTACAGGATTAATGACTATATTTCCCAGGGTTTACTTTATATTTCCATGAGTGTTTTATAACTGCCAATCTGTACGTCTCAATTTCCTCACCTTTTTTCACCCAACCCCTCAAACTCCTCCCTCTCTGATAACCATCAAAATGTTCCCTGTATCTATGAGTCTGCTTCTGTTTTGCTTGCTCATTTATATTGGTCTTTGGATTCCACATATAAGTGAAATCATATGGTATTCGTATTTCTCTGTCTGACTTATTTCCCTAACATACTAACTACCCTCTAGGTCCATCCATGCTCTCACAAATGGCAATATTTCATTCTTTTTTATGTCTGAATAATATTCCACTGTTTTTTTATCCACTCATTAGTTGATGGGCACTTGAGTTGCTTCCATAGCATGGGGATTGTAAACAATACTGCAGTGAACATAGGGTGAATATATTCTTTGGAATTAGCGTCTTGGTTTCTTTGCATATATACCAAGAAGTGGAATCTCTGAATCATAAGGCAGCTCCATTTTTTAAAAATATATTTTATTGATTTTTTACAGAGAGGAAGGGAGAGAGATAGAGTCAGAAACATCGATGAGAGAGAGACATCAATCAGCTGCCTCCTGCACATATCCCACTGGGGATGTGCCCGCAACCCAGGTACATGCCCTTGACCGGAATCAAACCTGGGACCTTTCAGTCCGCAGGCCGACGCTCTATCCACTGAGCCAAACCGGTTTTCGGCTTCATGTTTTAATTACTTGAAAAAAACTCCATACTGTTTTCCACAGTGGCTGCACCAATCTACATTCCCACCAAAAGTGACAAGGGTTCCCTTTTCTCCATATTTTGGTCAATATGAGCTTTTTAAAAATTTTATTGATGATCGCCATTTTAACAGGTGTGAGGATATCTCATGGTTTTAATTTGCATCTCTCTGAGGACTAAATATACTAAGCATCTTTTCATATGCCTATCAGCCATCTGTATGCAGTCTTTGGAGAAGTGTCTGTTCAGGTCCTCTGTCCACTTTTTGATTGGGTTGTTTGTATTTGGTGTTGAGTTGTATACTTTTTAAATAATTTTTGACTATTATGAGATATATCATTGTCAAATATGTTTTCCCATTAGTAGGTTGTCCTTTTATTTTGTTGATGTTTTCCTTTGCTGTGCTAAAATATTTTAGTTTGATACAGTCTCGTTTGTTTATTTTTTCTTTTGTTTCACATACTGCAGGTGATGTATCAACAAAAAATATTATTAAGAGAAGTGTCCTAGATGTTACTGCCTATGTTTACTTCTAGGAGTTTTATGGTTTGAATTTAAGTTGATAATCCATTTTGAGTCTATGTGTGTATATGGTGGAAGAAGGTGGCCTAGTTTCATTTTTTGTTTGTATCAGTCCAGTTTACCCTACACTGTTTATTTTTTATATATATATTTTATTGGGAGAGGGTTAGAGAGTTAGAAACATTGATGAGGAAGAAACATCGATCAGCTGCCTCCTGCACACTCCCTGCTGGGTATATGCCAACAACCAAGGTACATGCCCTTGACCGGAATTGAACCTGGGACCCTTGAGTCCGCAGGCTGACACTCTATCCACTGAGCCAAACTGGCTAGGGCCCTACACCATTTATTGAATAGATTGTCTTTACTCATTGAATGATCTGCCCTCCTTTGTCAAATATTAATTGGCCACATAGTCAATTTATCTATAGGCTTTCTATTCTGTTCCATTGGTCTATATGTTTATTTTTATGCCAGTACCTTGGTGTTTTGATTACTATAACTTTGCAGTATAGTTTGATAGCAGGTAGTGTGATACCTCCAACTTTGTCTTTCTCTGGATTGCTCTGACTATTTAGGGCCTTTGGTGATTCCATATAAAAATTTGAATCATTTGTTCTACTTCTGTAAAAGCTGCCATTGGTATCTTAATAGGAATTTTATTTTGGGTGGTATGACATTTTAAAGATGTTAATTTTTCCTATCCATGCGCATGGTGTATGCTTCCATTTTTTTGTATCTTCCTCCATTTCCTTATTAGGGATTCATAATTTTCCAAGAATTTTTCCCTCAGAGATATTAGTGGTGGCTCTCAATGGATTGTTTTGTTACTGTGATGATGTGCCCAATCCTTTTGTTGGCACATCTCTACTTTACTAATCCCCTTCCTGTTATGGGCCTGGTGAGAATGTCTGCAAGTTTTTCAGGGCTAAGGAACAGTATACATCATTCCTTCCATCTGAACACTAGAGTGGGGCCCTGTGAGTGAGCAAGGAGCATGAACCTACAGCTGCACTAATGGGACTCTGATGAATAAGCCTCTATAGTCAGCAGTAGTTGAGCACAAGAGACGTAACCTCCTCCCCTTGTCCAAAATTCAAAGAGCTGGATGCAAGAGGAATGACAAATAGCTGTACCTTGTCTATGTTTGTTTGAACATTAGTGTACTAGTCCAGCTGGGTAGCCTTTATTTGTTTCAAAACAAAACTCAGAGTCAACCTAGTAGTTTAGAATGATAATTTTGAAGATAGCCAGGTTGACTAAAATTGTCCTGTATTAATTTTGTGTTTTCCTTCTTGCCCAGAAGTGAATTGGAAAGGCAATACTTTTATCTACTACAGTTTAGTCTTAATATTTCTCTCAGTGTCTATGCCAAATACTATTTTGACCTTCGGTCCTTAGCAAGTGACCACGGATTGCCTATTGCATTTGCTCCTCTTGGAAAAGAAAGAGCACTGAACCTAGAGGTAAGGCTGTGGGAATCCAAAGTGGGGTTTGCTGCCAGACACCAAAACCAATATCTGTCGATAAATCATATTATGTAGTGACTAGGAAAATGAAAAGCTTTTTAAACTAGCACATTGAAGAAGACTTATGAACTCTTTCACATCGTATTAGTGCTATCTCTTCTGGTTTATTTAAGAATCCCACATTATACAAAAATGATCTCTGTGACCATGATTTAGAATAATTTATATCCAATTTAATCTTGCATGGTGTTTTTTTTTTGGAAACTCTGTTCTTATTTCTAGCTATATATGAATAATTTCTTACAATTGTATCATCACTAATCACATCTACAACCATATTCTACTTACCATTGTTAACTCAGTTTGCAAATTCATGTCTTTTCTGTATAAATCACAGTTTAGTACCTTTAGTTTGTTAACAAATCTAACCTGACTTATACTAAGATTGTAGAATATGTGCTTCAAACACTTGCTGTAGAAAGTATATAGGTTTTTAATGGAGATGGTAAAGTACATCGAACAAAGTAATTATGGCTTATGGCTTTTGGTGAATATACAACAAAATTATTCTCAATGGAAATGGACACTTTTAAATTGGACACTTTCTGTGGTACTTTAATGGTCCTTTAGAATAAGACATGTTTCTACCTTAATTAATGTGCAACTGAAATAGTACCTTTATAGTGCTTCAATCATTAGCACTTTCCTACCTTTCAATCAAGTACAACCCATGCCTGCCTCATTAAAATTTTCCTATGGCAATTACTAACTAATGAAGATTGGCTAAAATTTAAATAGCTGAGTCAACAATGACTTTGTCCAAGTGTAAGTTTATTATGTTTTTGGAACCAAATGTGCAGGCACCAGACGATATTGTTGTTAGGACCTTGTCACAACTTTGACATTGTTGAGAAAATCCAAACTGTAAATTCTAAGTTCCCCTTTGCTCTGGCAATCTAATTACAGTCCCTAAATGACTTACCTTAGTGAATGAGCATGAAGTACGATCCCAAGGACCAACAGTGTATACGCTAGCTGTCCGAAGAGGCAATAACTATAATCCATATAAAGAAGTGGGAACGTGTGGCTATCAGTGATGCTTTCTCTGTGAAGGCTGTAACTCCTTTATTTTGAATGTACCTGTGCTCTGTCCCATGGCTCCCCTAGGCCATTTCCAGATATTGTGAAAACAAAAACCTGTGCAGGGTGGCCATAAAAAAATCTGGCAGCTGTGCTAACCTAACTGATGTGCAGCATGGCCATGCCATCTTATCTTAAGGAGGAATGAGGGCTGTGACATGATGAGCCCCTCATCTGCAAGGCCTGGAGAAGACTCGCCGCTCCTCCTCCAATCCCAGCTAAGTCATTTCCTTTTAAGGGAGACAGGGGCGGCGGCCGGGTATTGACATAATGAGTTTCTCACCTACCAAAACAAGGACTGTTGAAATATAATATTCCCTATTCTGGCAAGTTTAGTATTTCCTTAAGAATAAGTGAAAGGTTTTAACCTGATGAGGATATTTTTTAGCCTATGCTTAATTTATGGTCCTTAGGATTTTTCATTTCCCTTTTGATTATTTTTATTACTAGAGGATATTACATTTGTTTAATTTTGTTTTCATTTTTGGATAAAAAGGAAATGTCTCAAACTTTTAAAAAGTTCTAGTTAATCTCACAATTGACAATCTCTTTTGAGCTTTAGAACTCTCATTTAGAAAATTTAAAGTATCTATTTCTATATACTATAGTTTCAAATGCTTTAATGTTTACTTTGATATTGGGGGAAAATGGACTTCTTAGACATAAGGAAATTTCTTAAATATTTTTCATTGCTTAGAGTAAAATGGGCACTTTCTCCACCCCCCTTCCCCTCACCTTTTGTGTTCTTTGAATTCCTTCTCAACTTTTTGGACATTGTTGCTGTATATGAATTATTTTAAAATAATTTTAGGTCTGAGTTTTCATTATAGCTTTTCAGACATTGAAGATTTCTCTACTTTTTAAGTTGATTTTAGAGAAGAAGGGAGAGAGGAAGAAACATAGATGTGAGAGAGAAACATCCATTGGTTGCCTCCCAGACAGTCCCCAAGACATGGGATCAAACCCAAAACCTGCACATGCGCCCTGATTGGGAACCAAACCCATAACCCTTTACTTAATGGGAAGACACTTCAACCATTGGACCCAGCCAGGTCAAAGATTTCTCTTTAAAAGAAATTCAATAACAACTATTCTTATTATAAAAATAATATATTGTATGGTCTTTAGCCTTTGAAAATTGTTATGTAACTGGCCTAAAAACTGCCAGAATGAAGTCGTGAAAAGGAGATTTCTGGTGGTACAGAAGCTAGATAAAAAGGGTGCTGTTCCGTATTACTTTCCAGGACCATCTTACTAGCAGGTGCCTTTTGGTAATTGGTAATTCCAATGGCTTATCTATATATATAAAAGGCTAAGTAACCAACGGTCCATCCATCTACCGACTGGCTGGTTCATATGACACACACTGGTCATTTAAAAATATAATAGACAAACATGCAAATTGACCATACCTTCGCTACACCCAAGCCATGCCCACCAGCCACGCCCACCAGCCACGCCCACCAACCAATCCAGAGATATGCACATTAACCCAACAAAGATGGCAGAGGCCAGAGCCTGGATACTTGTGTTGCAGCCACAGCTACCATGCAAGCATCCCGGCTTTGGCCGCTCCAGGCCTATTGGAGACGCAGAAGTCAGGGGAGACAGAGAATTCTGGCTCCAGTGCCTGAGGCTGGCTGCGGCCTGGGAGACGAAGAAGCTGCCTACCCCATGATCCCAGTCTGCAGCTGGCCGGAGAAGCTGCCCACACTGCATCACAGGGGACATGGAGAAGCCGCCCACCTGTGGTCCAGGCACCAGCGCCTGCGACTGGCTGTGGCCCAGGAGACAGACAAGTCACCCGCCCTGAGGTCCCAGGCTGCAGCCACCTGGAGAAGCTGCCAGCCCTGTGGTCCAGGGCGCCAGCACCTGTAGCCCAGGAAATAGGCTCCCTCTTCTCCTACTGCAGTAATTACTTCAATATTCCCCTTCTGAGTTTCTCTCCTGTGCCTCAACCCAACTCCACTTTTCATCAGAAGGATACGGATGGAAGATCTATCCAGTTTAGTCAGAAGAGTGTTAAAGTCCCCTACTATGACTGTATTGCTGTTGATCTCTCTTTAGGTCCTCTAGAAGTTTTTTTAAAATATATTTAGGTGCTCCTGTATTGGGCAATACTTCCATCTTTGAAAATATCTACATAAAATCTGTTTAAATAGATTTTCATCTGCATAACCTAACACATTCTGACAAGACTACCACCACCAATGTCGTCAGTGTTGTGCTGATAAATGTTTAACAACTGGCTCTCAATCAAAGAAAACAAAACTCTGATTTATACTGTCGGCCAGTTTCTGTGGTATAAATTCTCCATCCAATTTCTGTGGCATAAATTCTCCATTTCAGCTGCTAATGTGATGCCACTAAATGAAGAGCTGAGGAGAAACATGCAGTAATACACTATTATATTCTACCAGAAAGACCCAAAAGATATAAATAATGTCAAGAGTCAGAACAGTAAAGTATAGTAAATAATTAAGGCGTGATGAATTTAGAGTATGTATTTCATTTGGTTTTAATGTAATTTATTCACTTTTAAGATTATATAATTTAATTTTTAGTAATGCACATGTTTAACAACCAGCTTACAAAATTCCTGAAAATGTGTGAGCCAGAAGGGCAAGCTCTAGCACAATACTGAGTGGAGTGTAATGGTTAAATGCCAAGGCTTCATGGATTTGAAATGCGACTGAGCCACTTTTGGGTTTTACTAGTCAAGTTACCCGATCTCTCTATACCTCAGTGTTCTCATCTGTGTCATTATAGTACCTACTGCATAGAGTTGTTGAAAAGATAAAATGAAATCTGTGTATGACACAGCACAGTACCTGAAACAATAATTCACTCAATTTGTTATAAACTGTTACTGCTTCAAAACGTTGTTGACAAAATTACTCGTGCTGAAAGAATGAAATTTTATTGATGAGAAAAATGCCTTATTTTGTGATCTACATGGAGACAATCAATTTTACTTCTTAGGCAGTAGATGGTAATCTACTACTAGAAACTGCAAGGGGAAAAATGACCTCAATCAACATGATTGAGGCAATGTATTATTACCTGGATCATAAAGCAGAGAGGATGCCCTACATTATGGGATGCATCTGCAGTAAGAGGCTTCATCTCAGGTATTTTTTTTTTTAAATATATTTTATTGAGTTTTTACAGAGGGGAAAGGAGAGAGATAGAGAGTTAGAAACATCGATGAGAGAGAAACATCGACCAGCTGCCTCCTGCACACTCCCCACTGGGGATGTGCCCGCAACCAAGGCACATGCCCTCGACCGGAATCGAACCTGGGACCTTTCAGTCCATAGGCCGACGCTCTATCCACTGAGCCAAACCGGTTTCGGCTCATCTCAGGTATTAATTCTGATCAACGAAGCATCAGACTTAAGGTGAATGGTGAGAAAGATTCTGAGGCTGTTTCTAGACTTAGCAGGAATAGAACTTTAATACATAAGCAACAGTTACTATGGTTAATGATGGCAAGAAAACACACACCATGATCTAATCTAATAAAGAGAAACATGCAAATCCCCCGAGGGCTCCCAGGCTGCCAGAGGGATGTCTGACTGCTGGGGAGCGGGCCTAAACCATCAGGTAGTCATCCCCTGAGGGGTCCCAGACTGCAAGAGGTCACAGGCCGGGCTGAGGAATGCGCCCCCCCCCCCCCCCCCCCCCACCGAGTGCACACATTTTTGTGCACCAGGCCTCTAGTTTAAAAATAAACCTTGACTCATGCATGCATGATACATATAAAGCTCTGGCTGACATACAGTCAGTCACTTAGCCTTTTATATATATAGATTATGACATGTAATTTTTGCAGTAACATTACTACATGAATCTTCTAATTAATTTCCTTTTAATGTACACAAATCCATGCACTGGGCCATTAGTATTGAATAAGTGACTTATTCTACCTATAATGCATGCTATTAGCTATTATGTCTGGAAATTATTTTTAAAGAAATTAGACAACCGATTTCTAGAAAGTAAAATTTTACTGTTTTTGATCCACATCTTGCTTTCCCTGTAGGACTGTCTGTGTTGCACTATTGCCTTTTTGAGTTAACATGTGTCTGTGATGTCAGCATTTTCTCTCCTCCCTCTCCAGTTACAATGGTGAATTCTAATAGCACATTAGCAAGGAAGAATTTTAAAAATTTGAACAGTTCCATGATGTTTCTTCTTGAGGTTTTTCAAGCATAACCTTTCAAAAAATTTAACATATTTAGAGTTGATAATACAGTTGAAGGAGGTGAGTAGAAAACATTCACAAGGATGACAGTCAAAAGTGTCATTAAGATTGGTTTTAATATTTTCCAGGTTTTACTGGGTTGCTTTAAGCATATTTAATATTTCATTCAGATTATCAAAATTTTGGCGGGAATAGTTGAACAAATTAAATTTTTTAAAAAAAGATTAGATGCTTAAAGCCAGTCTCTATATTAAAAAGTAAGGAAATAGCAAGATCTTTTTATATAACTTAAAAAAATCTTTATTGTTCAAAGTATTACATACATTCCCCTTTACCCCATTGACATCTCCCAGTCCGCTTTCGCTCCCACCCCAGGCCTTCACCACCCTATTGCCTGTCCACATGTTATGCATATATGCATACCAGTTCATTGGTTGGTCTCTTTCCAGGCCCCCATGCTCTCCTCCCTTCCCCCTGAGGTTTGACAATCTATTTGATGGTTTTATGTCTCTGGATCTATTTTGTTCATCAGTTTATTTTGTTCACTAGATTCCACATATGAGAGAGATCATGTGATATTTATCTCTCTCTGACTGGCTTATTTTGCTAAGCATGATGCTCTCCAGGACCCTCCATGCTATCTCAAACAAAGGGTAAGAGATTCTTCTTTTTAATGCTGCATGGTATTCCATGATGTACATGTACCACAGTTTTTAAATCCACTAATCTGCTGATGGGCACTTAAGCTGTTTCCAAATCTTAGCTATTATAAATCACGCTGCTATGAACATAGGGGTGCATATGTTCTTTTTGATCAATGTTTCTGATTTCTTAGGATATATTCCTAGAGGTGGGGTCACTGGGTCAATGGGAGTTCCATTTTTAATTTTTTGAGGAAATTCCATACTGTTCTCCACAGAGGCTGCACCAG